TTGATGGACGGCATGTTCAAGGACGCTCCGTGCGCCTCGCCCAACGTGGCCCGCTGGGATCTGCAGCAAGTGAATTCGAGCGCGGAGTGGCTCGACGGCACTGGCGTAAAAAGCAGCTGTGCGCGGTGGTCGGACAGCGGCGATGACTTATGGCGCATGACTACCGACGGCACTGACCCCAACTGCCCCGGCGACTCCCCCTTCCGGGTGGATATCGAGCTCACCGACGCGTCCCAGCTCAGTGTGCGCCTGCAGATCGACGAGGCCGAAACGGCAAACCGGTTTACTGTGCATTGGGGCGACGGGACGACGGCGCCCGACGGGGATTTCGCTTCTTACGTACGCTGCTCTGACTGCTTGCCGGACGCCGGCGGACGACCAGCGAACGGCACGTCCGACCTGCCTGCCGGGGCTATCAACCACACATTTGCGGCCACGGGCACGTATTCCGTCGTGGTGCGCGGCGAGATTGCGGGCTGGGAGGATCTAAGGATTAGCTCCGCCGCGGAAACGCCAACCGCGGCGGAGTCAACACGAACATGGAAGAGCAGTTTCCGCACGCTGCGCGCGGTCGGGAGCAGCGGCGGCAAACTTTTTCCCTTCTTGTTCCAGGAAGCGACCTCGCTGATGCCAGAGGTCCCACAGACAGCGCAGTTGCTGCTTAACTACTGGACCTCCGCAAACAGTACTCAGTCCATGTTCGAAGGATGCTGCCAGAGTCTGACCGAGCTAGACGTGTCTTCCTACGAAACCTCGATGGTTACGAGCATGAGCCGCATGTTCCAGAATGTGAGCAATCTGGTGCGCCTCCCTGGGCTGGGAAATTGGGCCTCAAAAGTTGCGGAAGTGACGGACTTGTCGTACACCTTTTCTGAGCTGAACCTGTTGGAAACCTCAGCGAGCGCCGGCCTCGCCGCTAACTACGCGACTACGGCCCTCAATGATTGGCAGGTGGGAAAGGTGAAAACACTGCAGAGTATTTTCCAAGACACCCCGCTGGCTCACTTCAACGTGGCGAAGTGGGACGTGTCGCAGGTGACCGATTTGAGCTACGCCTTCGCCAATGCCCGGGCCTTTGACCCGGCGGTGGGCGACTGGGACGTCGGCCAGGCGACCAGCTTGGTTTCCATGTTCGAGGCAGCGACACTCGCGAACCCGAACGTGACCAACTGGCAGACCGGAAACGTGCGGACCATGCGACAAATGTTCGCGGATGCGGTCAAGGCCATCCCTCACGTGAGCGCGTGGCAGGTCGACAATGTGACCGACATGTCTGCGATGTTTCGCGGCGCGGTCAGTGCCGACCCGGACGTGCGATTGTGGCAGGTGGATCAGGTAACGGATACCTCCAACATGTTCCGTGGCGCAGCGCGCGCGAACCCGTGCGTGACCTTGTGGTCAGTGAGTACAAGCGGGCTTTTGATGGACGGCATGTTCAAGGACGCTCCGTGCGCCTCGCCCAACGTGGCCCGCTGGGATCT